GGGGGCAGACGTGCCATGTTTACTGTCTTCTCTAGTCAGAGCTCAAGTGTGAACCCTAATGCGTATGTTGGTTGGTGTAACCTCCGGCCTCCAGAGCACACACGCCTGGTTCTGGCCTGATCCTGGCGGCTGACATGAAGGTGTAAAGTCAGGGGACGTGATGAGAAGGACGGCGCCTCACAGTGGGGTTACCAGGGGTTGAACAAAGAAGCACTGTGAGTGCTGCAGATTTCAGAGTTTGCTGTCAAATCAGCAATTACACGAGTTTTTTTCTTTTTTTTTTGATGCCTTGTTGACGGCTGGTGAGGTCGTCATAAAACGTGACCGAGTCGGTTTGATGAGATGCTGTTGTGATGTGGCAGATGTTCACAGCTGGACTTGTCCATTCACGGTCAACAATAACGTTGAACACGTGAGACGCTGGTGAGGAATAATGGAGAAGTCGTGGTCAATGATTGAGAGAGGGAAAACAGACGGGGAGATTGGATTTTACAGGAGGGCAGGCAGAGTCGCAGGAGATGGGAATCGTTTTTTTTTTTGTGTGTGTATGTCTGGGAGAATGGGAGCCTCTTATACACCACACAGCGAGAATTTGGCCCAGGCTGCGGCCTCGTCTCGTCTGCACAGCGGGTCGCCTTCCTGAGCAGAGCTGCCCATGGGGAGGGGCACCTGCAGTCGCCTCTAACACTGGACAAGAGAAAAGCCCGTCAGACTGGGCGGTGAGATCTGGGATGGAAAGATGCGTGGAAGATTCCAGGAAACAGACATGTGCTGGTTTTATGAAATCCTCAGGTAGAACAGAGAGAGGCTTGAAAAAGAAAATATTTGTCCTTGTGTTTTCTCTGAGGAGAAGGTGGAGGAGGTGGAGGAGGTGGAGGAGGACACTGTCTGTATTCTCAGAATGACATCAAAGCTTCTGTCACACCGGAGGACAAAAGTTATGATTGGAGCAAGTCGGCCGGCGCTGGCAACTACTAACAAAAATAACAGAGTTTATAGATTGACCACTCTGCCAACTGAGACAATATTTTCCATCCGTTTGGTCGGTTTGACGAAACACCACGTATTTGTAGTTTATCAAAGGCGCAGTCATCCCTGCAGACCTGAGGGAAGACTTAATCATCTGATATATTGAGTTGTAGAAGACACCCAGAACGCGTCCTCTGTGAAGACGCAGAGAGTTGGCTTTAGAGTCCACGCTGCTGTCTTTTTTGGACGGGTTTCTCCGACGCCTGAGCCTTCACCCTCCGTCTTTGCCGTCACGTTGGTATGACTCACGGCTCCAAAAATCACCAAACGCTGTATTAGAACTCACCGTTGGAACTCAGTCTTTGTCTGCGCAGAGTTCCGTTTAAATTGACAAATGTGCTGAGAGGGCCCTGGTTGTCTGTGAACTGTGGATGGATATTGCATTAACTTCACAACTGAAGCGCCCCCCTGTGGTGTGACCGCACAGGGTAATAACTGCACTGGGAATGTTGGGCTCCGAGGTAGTCGAAGCAGGTAAATGGAAACACATGGTGGGCAGCATGGACCAGAGCGGAGTCCTGGGCCTTAGAAACAGTGGCATCACGGTGGAGAGAGAGACACAGACCTGCACTGACCAACGCCTCTGGTATGTGTTTCTCCAACCTGTCGGTGTTATCCACACAGTGAAGCCCTGTTGGGGCTGCACACATTTCTTTCCCCTGACTGAATTCCTACGCTATCTGTTCACAGATTTCAGGTCCAGATAATTCGACCTGATCTTTAACTTTCTGTTGTTCCACTTCACTGAGTCCTGACCTGGAGGTTATGAACTTGCAGCAGTTATTATTAGACACAACATTTTACTCAACAACCAGGGAGTAAATGTTAAATGAATCTCCTTTTGTTTCATCTTTTATTATTTTTTTCAACCAGGTAATTTAAAATTATTATTATTATTATATTTGCTATTTTTTGGGAATATTTTGGCTGCAAATGTCATATCTAAATGGTCGCTAGTGGGCAGTAATGTAACCCTTGAGTCTGTCTTTAAACCCCACTAAGCAGGTTAAAGTGGTTAAAGTAGAGTAACTACTGATACAGCTCATACCTTAATACAGGGGATACTCTAAGCTAACAACATTTTTGGATACAGCTCATACCTTAATACAGGGGAAACTCAAAAAATTTAAGCTAACAACATATATAAGTAACTACTGATACAGCTCATACCTTATATCAGTGGAAACTCCTGTAAAAAAAATTTAAGCTAACAACATATATTTTTTTTTAATCTTCATTCATCAGTTCAGACGTTCAGTTAAAAAACATCTGCAGCGGTGTTTCCATCTGAGAATTCTGTCTTTGTGGAATTCTGGGGGATGTCCTTCACAGCAGGTCAGAACCTGCTTCTGTGCCCTGACTGGACGGACTCAAAATCAAAACTGAAAAAAATACTTTAAAGGAAAATAAATAATTTGAGCTGAAAATTGACATTTGGTCTGATTTATAAAAAAAAAAAAAAGAACACGTTTTAGTCATTAATATCAGACAAAGGTTCGTCTCAGTATTTTTTGACTCTCACCAACTCCTATAAATTTTATCCCATCATTCCACTCCTGTTCCTCCCCCTCCGTCAAACAATATTTGCTCTTCTGTGTCAAAGAGCAGCAGGACTTTGTCATACTGTACACAGCTGTCTGACACACACACACACACACACACACTAGATTGCATGGACTGCGTGTGTGTGTGTGTGTCTTTTCATGCAGTGACACATGGGTGAAAGAAGGCGACGTCTTTATTGAAGCGTTTGTTACAGTCAGAGTGGAAACTCTTTACATCAGTGACAACAACTGAAGAATGATGTTTTCTCAGCCGACATGCAGATCAATCATTTTTCAAACTTTTGTTTTTAAAGATTATGTCAGAAATCAGGTGAAAATCTAAACATGTATATTTTTATTTGTACGGTTACAAACGAGCCGACAGGTGAGCACCGGTCGACTCGTCAGTAAAAAAAAAAAAAAAAATGCAATAGGAATGAAATGCAGTTCAAATTGTTTTAAATAAAAAAGTAAAGTTTAAAAAAATATTATCCAAATTTTCATATCATAAATTCACCAGTCAATGATTTTTTTTAGGTGATATTTTTTGGCATATCATAAATTCACCAGTCAATGATAGGTGATAATTTTTTTGCTCTCTACTGCCTCTAACTACAGAAAAGGTGCAACTGCAGCCAAGCTTTTTTTTATGTGAATTTGAAACCAAATTTTTATATTTTAATATCTGACAGCTTTAGTGAGACATTAAATAAATGAGTGTAAAAATGTCACAGATTGTCTGATTATAAACAAAACAAAATAATATCAACATATATTTTCTTCCTGGTCGTTGGAAGTGTTTTTGGTTCACAGAGCATTTACACAAAGTGCCTTTTTAATATCGTCTTTACTCGGTTCCTCGCACCGTCCATGGCCTCGGCTCCAGCAGTGCACGGTACAACACACACTCACGCCGCCGTGGACTGCACCGACCGCCGCAGCACTACTGCAGCGGACTGCCTTTGCGGCAGAGCTGATTTGCTGATGTCATCGTCTGCTGGCTGCGTTTCCGTTTCCCAGTCAGCAGGGTGTAAAAGAAGGGATTCACACAGGAGTTCCCGTAGGTCAGCCCAGTGAGGATCCGATTCACCGTCACCTGCGTCCCCACCGGAACTGTCCGCAGCATGTCGGGCTGATACAGCGGCAGTAGCTGCCAGATCCAGAAGGGGAGGAAGCAGGCCCAGAACGCCAGGACAATCCCCAGGATCAGGAGCAGCACTTTGGGTTTGGGAGCTCTGGGTGGACAGGCAGTGCTGCCCCCGCTGGCCCAGGCGGGCCGGGTCTGAGACACCCAGTAGAGTCGCCCCAGAGTAGCATAAAGTGCTCCGATGGCCAGCCCGGGGCCGAGGATGCTGGTGCAGAACAGCACGCTCAGATAGGCCTTGGAGCTCTGCTCGTCCCACGCCGGCACACACAGCTGTCCCTCCTGGTTCTCACCGTCCTCCAGGTGCAGGGTGATCATCATGGGCAGACTGAGGGCCACGGCCAGGCCCCAGGCCAGGCCCACACGCAGCAGCCCGGAGGAGTTGGAGGAGGAGGTGTGCAGGGGACGGGCCACAGCTCGGTACCGGTCCAGACTCATGGCTGTGAGAGTGAAGATGGAGGCGTGCATGGTGAGGAGATCCAGACTGAGGAGGAGGCGGCAGCCCAGCTCGCCAAAGGCCCAGCCGGACGCCAGGCTGTCGTAAACGATGAAGGGAGCGGTGAACAGGTAGAGCAGATCGGCCAGAGCGAGGCTCAGCACCTGTAGGTACAGGGAGGAAGAGGAGGAGGAGGACGAGGAGATGGGGGAGGCGGAGGGGGACGAGGTGTTGACTAAGCAGAACGGCACCGGTACTCTCATCAGGCAGCAGTTCGGTCCCGCTCCGCGTCTCCTCCGACTCCTCCTGCGCTTTAGAAGGAGGCCCAACGTGTAGAGGTTTCCTATGATTCCCAGCAGGGAGAGGAGGGAGAGGAGGCAGCAGAACAGAGCGGTCGACGCCAGGCTGGGGGAGGGAGAGATGGAGGGAGGCAGGGAAGGAACGGAGATGTTGGGCAGGACGGCGACGGTGTAGGGTGAAGGTGGAGGCAGAGATCCGGACAAATCCATGCTGTGTTTTTGACCAGGAATGTCCTCAGTGACAGGTCAAAGGTCAGTCTGTGGAGATGGAAACGAAAAAAAATTGTTAGAGTTCTTCTTCATTCAGTTTTCATTTTCTTAGATGTTTCAGGTCTGCGTAGTCATGATAAAAACTCAAACATCAAATGTTATAAACCTGCAGAAATCCTGAAGTCAGCAGATCAAAGTATTGATCATGTGACGGCAGAAACCTGCTCTGGTTGGCACAGACTCGCGCTCTTATAGTTTTACAAGCAGCCACGTCAGACGGTCACGGTTCGGGTAAAATAATTGGATTTTCAGAAGGAGGAGCGCTCCACTTGGAGGCTGTAAATCTAACGTGGACCTCCACCGGGTGGGTTCCTACCAAGGTCGGACGCTGGGCAACAATTAGGCTGAGTGGAAGACAAAGACCCAGAATTAAAAACTGTTAGTTTAAACTCATGACCCATTTGAGTTCACGTCTCCTCGGGGGTCTCTGAGTCTTCAGGTCTGGTCCTGGTTGTAGGTTTGTTTGGTTTTTTTTTCACAAATAAAAAGAACATTTGTTGGATTTAAAAAAACAAGGAGACTTTTTTCTTTTACAACGACCATGTCTGTCCCACCTCTGACCCACTCGGTGGGTGATGCTGTGCAGAAAGGTGATCTGCGGGGACATCAAAGTGGTCCACGGTCTGACAGTCGTGACGAGTGGGACACATGGTGGCCCGACTGGCTGCGGGGTTAAGAGCTGCTGTTGAACTGTGCAGGAGCTGTCGGACCCCCGCAGGGGCTGCGAGCCCCCGATGCACGCGATACGTTACCGGCTCCCTTTGAATTCCAAAAGTGACGGCTCGTGTTCGGGATAGTTTGTAAAACACGCGAGATAGATTTAGATCTTTCTAGATCTTAACGAGATAGAGGAAAACGAGAGATGGATAGAGATTGAAAGATCTGGATAGATCGAGATCAATCTACAAATGATCGATCTATCTAACGATTACATATAAGTTACGGGTTCATTTCGGGTTCAATTCGTCTTAATCTAAATACATAAAGTAACGAATAAAGTCCAATAAAAACCGACGTTAGTCTCAAATAGTGTTCACTAATTACAATTGGTTTAACGTACGTTTCATCGGGCGGGAAAAAAAAACCACGAACTTTTTCATTTAGTAAATTAGCAACAATGTTGTCAACACGGACCCTCGACCCTCGGCGGTCTGGAGACTTCACCCCTGTCCTTCTGCTGACACTCACCCGGAGGCAGCTCAGTCCCAGATGCTGTGAGACAATGGTCCGTGGGTTAGTTTGGAGAAAAAGCTCCACTGTCCATGTTCCGGTCACTCTCTGTGGGCCGCACGCTGCCATGGGACTCGCGTGAAGTCTTCGCTCCGACAAATCCCGACCATTTTCCGTGGATCCTTCTTCAAACTTTGTGATCTGATCCCCGCTGTCGTCAGAGCAGCTCTGTCTCCACAGATCTGTCTGTGATGTGCCCCCGTCAACCGACTGTGTGTGTGTGGAAAGGGGGTGGGATGCTGCTGAGTGACGGGGTTCATCCCTCAAACCATACGTTATTAACATGAGGTCGTGTTGACGGTGGAGCAGCGGTTAGTCTGTCTTGCCTTACAGAGCCACAGAGATCGGTCGTGTTCACAGAAATATTTCATCCACAAGTCAATCATTCATATCAATTTTTTCCCGATTAACTCTTCACTCTAAATGTAAACAGGTGTGAATATTAGTGTGAATAGTTGATTCTCTCTGTGTGTGACCGTGTGATTGGCCGGTGACGTGTCTAGGGTGTCGCGGTGACCTCATCTGGGTTAACGGAGCAAAAGTGTTTGCATAATTGGAATTTAGATTAATTGGACAAGGGGAATCATCAATGCCCAATAAATAGACCGCGATATATCGCAATTTGACAGATTGGCCGGTGACGTGTCTAGGGTGTCCCGGTGACCTCATCTGGGTTAACAGAGCAAACGGAGGTGTTTCCATAATTGGAATTTTGATTAATTGGACAAGGTTAATCATCAATGCCCAATAAATGGACCGCGATTTATCGCGATTTTACACACTGTCCCATATATTGTATATATATGTGCACCATACAACTGTTGATTTTGCACATGGAAAAAGGGAAAATAAAAACGTTTAGTTTACAATTATTAATATAATTACAACAGATATTTTAACCATCCACCACCATTTTCCTGTTTTATATATTTTAATGACTTAAATTAAATGACTTTATATTTTAAATTTAAATGTAGTTTTAAGTTTTAGGTTTAGTTTTGACTGTTTTTTAACAATATATAAACTGTTGGTTTTCCTGCTCCTAATTCACCATAAATTCTTTTTTCTTTTGCTAAGGATGAACCCGACCTTTACCCGATGACTGCCTGGATTGGCTCCAGCTCCCCCTACAGATTAAGCGGTAGAAAATAAATGGTCGGATGGACGAGCTTCTGAATTATAGAGTCGACTCTCCAAGAATCTACAGAGGTAGGAAATATATTCAAACAGTCCACTTTGGCCTTATCAAATGGGATTTGTGGTGCAAATGTTCGAAACCTTCGGAAAACACTTTTAAACGTGTTTTATCGTAAAGACGTCCACGCTGATAATCGCCGTTGTCCATCTCACTTGCACCGAGTCATAAATAAAGAAAGATTCCGTCCACAGCTGCTGAGCTAATAGTTAAGAAGTGGAGTTTGATCACAGTTGATGACTCTCTAACGGCTTCACCGTCTCTGGACATAAATCTCACCGGGAACTCGCTACAAATACTTTCCACCAAAGTCAAGAACCTGACCATAAATGGTGTTGCCACATCACAGCCTGGCAACCAATCAGAGGCTGGATTAGTTGTTAATACGGTCGATTCTTTCCACCGACCGTCAGGGTTCTGACCTGCTGACCTCTGCGGCCTTCTCTCACTTTTACTGCTGTTTTTTTTTTTTTGGTGCATAATTGTTAAAAAAATGATATTGTATTTGTCCAACTTTAACTCTTATTATTATTACATTCATTTTGGAAACTTGGTGGTGCAAAAAATATACATTTTAACTACTTATTTTTGAATCCTTAAATGTTTTTAAGAATTAATTTTAAGAGGTTTGAGGTCTTGAAATAGATTTTTTTTAATAGAAACGCTGTGCATTTATATATAAAAATGATTTATATTACTATAATAAAATAACAGCCGTGAATTTAAGAGGAACCCAAAATACACACACTGTAAATTCTTTGTGTGTTTTAACCTGACGTGACCTCAAGTAAAACACATTAACTGTAGATTTTTATTTATAAACCTGCCGTGTGACTTTGCTGCAGCAGGTCACACTTGGACAAAAAAAATGTCAGGTAAAAAAAACAAAACTTTATTATTATTATTATTACGATGATGAAAATGTTCTCGTTAGAACGGCAGCTTCAGACGGAAACAAAAACACACGTTAATTGAGGCACTTAAGAAAATGAATCAAACATAATGGGAAACACTTAGAAGGTCAGAATCATTCATGGATATTAGGATGTGGAGACAAACAAGTATAATAGAATTCAAAGGTACAACTTTTCAGAACAGTTTTTTTAAAATTATATTTGGAAATAATTCTTTAGAAATTGTTCCTGCTGCTTACAAATTTACAAGATTTATTTAGTTGATTTATTTACGTACAAAAGCTGATATTTTGTGCATTATTTAAACAATAACATTAAAAATAATAACCAAATATTGAAAACATAAATCCTTCTCAATCACTCTGCTTAACATTTCATTTTTATTGCATTAAAATACTTGTGATATGTTTATATTTGTTGACTTACAGTGAAATGGTCATATTTATATTTGTATTAATCCAGATGGATCCAGTCAGATCCAGTCAGATCCAGTGTCTGAGCTGTAAGTGTCCTTCTCCTCTAATTCCCAGTCTGACTTTGTGAAGATGAAACTCGTGCTGGTTTCACATGTGGTGTAAAGACAAGAGTTCTGGTTCAGACTGAACCAAAAGAATGTTTCATCACAGACACTGGGTCCAGACCTGGGTCAGTGTTAGATACTGATACCGTGTGTAGAGTTTGGATTGGCTCTCAGAGACTCCGTTTAATTTTCAGAAAAATGTAAACACAATCACAAAGGTGCAGGTTTTTTTTTTTTTTTTCATTTTCTCACTTTAATTGAATTCACGGTCTGAACTCGGTGAACAGAGCCAGTATCCTGGCTGTTCGCTGTCATTTCATGACGCACTGCAGTAACTAACGGGGCTCAGCTCCGACCCAATGTCAATACCACACGGGCTGGCGTTCAAACACACTGTCCTGCAGCCCCCGCCGTAGGAGATTTACACAATGGCCTGGTCTGTAAATTATGGAGGAAATTAATTACCCAGTGGAGCTGCCTGTATCAACATTTTTCCATGTCTGTGAAAAGTTTCACTGCTCCGTCTAATAAGTGGCCTGTCTCTGAGCTCTGACAACAGCACTGAATAAACGGCTCTTTCAGCACTTATCAAAAGCAACTTACGGTTGCTTGTTATCCGCTCAGTTGTTTTTGGCCTCGGCGTCGCGCGGCCCACAGCTGCGGTTCACCAGCGTCAAGAGGCTGAACAACTTGGAAATGATTTAGCAGTGACAGGCCAGTAAAGAGTGGAGGCTGGTGGGGGTAGGGTGGAGGGGAGGGAGGGTTGGGGTCCAGGCCGGCTGCTTCATACGTGTGCTGGCGTATGAAATGATTCTCTAAT